TGGGTAACAGTGATGATTCGCTGCAGAAGCAGCGTCGGCAGTTAAAATCCCCAGAGTTCAGGGGGAGGAAGGGAGGGATTCTCCTGAACCGAACCAGTGGAGGCTCCAATCAACCGTCGTCCGCGTTGATCGGATAGTCGTTACGAAGTTGCCTGACGTGGCTGCCTGGGCACACGCCTGTGCAGCGTCCCGGGAAACGACGTGGGATCGTCCTGCAGCGGCGTTGACGGTGACGCTGCCTGGCAGCGCTGTTCCCGCCGCCTGGCTGTGGGGGCTGGCGGGTCACCGCCGGGTTACTTATATGCGACTGACGAGCCCAACTTCGACCTGCCTCCTCGCGAGAGCCCGCTCCCCGGTGCAGCCGGCGGCGGGCGAACGCAGCGCGCCCGTCTTCGCCCGCATTGTGGGTGATGCACGACGAGGTCAGCGGAGACGGAGAACATCCGCAAGAACCTGGCCATCGAGCGCATGATCACCGAGGGCTGCGAGATCCTGCTGGACATCCGCCAGACGCTTCGGCGCTAAGCAAGGCAGGACCCGCCCGCTGCCCGCGCCCCACGCGCCGCCCGCGCCCCCACGCCGCCAACCGCCCCAGCGCCGTCCCTCCGCCCGGGCCCCACCCGGCCCGCCCCCGGCCCGGTCGCACCCCTCCATCCCATTGCGCTCCGTCCTCAATCCGCACCCTAGCCCCCGGCCCCCGCCCCCGCCCCGCCCCTACCCGGCCCCACCGCCCGGACCGGACCCCTGGCCCCTGCCCGCCCGCACGCCCCACCCCCACCCTGCCCCCACCCCGTCCTCATCCCCATCCCCGGCCCCCCCCGGCCCCCAGTCTCCCCGGCCCCCGCCCCCGGCATCCCCGGCCCCCGCGCCGTCCTCAGTCCCATACCCCTGCCCCACCCACCCACCCCACCGACCTGCCCCGCCCCCCATCTCATCCCCATCCCCGGCCGCTCTCCGCCCCCCCCTCCTCATCCCCTCCCGCGCGCCCGACCCTCAGCTCTGTCGCTGTGCTGCGCCTTGGCCCCTCCTGTCCTCACCCTCCACCGGGCCCCGCCCCGCCCGGCTCCATGCCACGCGAGCAGCGTCCTACACAGGCTAGGAGGGAGGGGAGGAGAAAGGAAGGGGAGGGGGCAGGGGAGGGGATGGGGGAGGAGGAGAGGGAGGGGGATGATCTGCCCTCTGGTCACAGCCTCCCCTAGTCGAGGCTCTCCCACGAGGCTCTCCCACAAGCCTCTCCCACGGTCTGTCGGGGCTCTGCTCTGGCTGGGCAGGCCTGGGTGGGCGCAGCAGCAGGAGGGTCGGTCCCCTGGTGGCCATTCCCCAGAGCTGCCTCTGCCCGCGGAGCCGTCTGTCCTGGGGGTGGACGGGCCCAGGGTGGCTGCTCTGCCCTAACCCGAGCCGTGCAGCCCCGAGCTGGGCCTCCTTCCCTGTCCCCCCCACCCGGCAGGCGGGGCGGGGCTGCACCTGGAACATGGGGTAGGTGAGGAAGGTCTCCAGCGTCCTCTCCTCGCAGTCAGGCTTGGCCTCGTAGTGCTTGAGCAGCTTGTCGAAGTCGCGGTTCTGCTTGCAGTGCGCCAGGATCTGCAGGCTGTACTGGTGGTTGCGCACGAACTCCTGGTAGATGTTCAGCATGGGCAGCAGGATGTCGAACAGGTCGGCTGCGGGCGGGCGGGCGGGCGGTCAGTGGGGAGACCCCCGGCCCTTGGCTCCCCATCCCACCCACAGCCGGGAGCTGGATTTCAGGTCGGCTCTGTGGCCTCCACCTGCGGCCTCAGCTCCCTAAGCCGGCCTCCTTGACTCCGTGGTGGAGGAGACACCAGCACTCGGCTTTGTCTGCCAAACTCAGAAAGTGAGTAAAGAGGCAGACGACGTTTGGGGCAGGTGAGGGGAGATGCGGGAGGGACTTAGGACGGCTATGAGCATTTCACGAGCCCGTGTGCTGGGGCGCTTTGGTTTAGCAGATCTGCTTTTGCAAACCCATCCCCAGGAAACGGCCTCTGCCATGGGGAAAACTTCGTATGCAGAGATGATTATTTCTCTCTCTTTTTTTTTTTTCTCTGAGACAGAGCCTGACTGTGTTGCCCGGGCTGGAGTGCTGTGGCGTCAGCCTCGCTCACAGCAACCTCAAACTCCTGGGCTCAGGCGATCCTCCTGCCTCAGCCTCCCGAGTAGCTGGACTACAGGCAGGCAGGCGCCACCACGCCCGGCTAATTTTTTTTCTATGTGTATTTTTAGTTGCCCAGCTAATTTCCTTCTATTTTTAGTAGGGACAGGGTCCCGGTCTTGCTCAGGCTGGAGAGATGATTATTTCTAACGACAACAGAATCAGAACAGCCCTAAGAGCCAACGGCGGGAGGTGGCTGGATCGGGGATGGAACCTCCATGGAGTACTGGAGTGTCACATGTGTGATCAGAAAGCACGCCTTGGCGTGAGAAAATGCTCGTGTCGTAACGTTAAGTAAAAGAAAAAAAAAAAACACACGGAAGATTCCGTCTATATTCAGCATGTTTGCAATTATGTAAAATGGAAAAAAAAACACAAGCTCTATGCGTAAAAAAAAAAAATAACTGGAAGAAAACACAGCAACGTGTTTACAGCGGTTATCTTTGGGAAGCAGAACCGTGGCCGGTATTTTTAAACGTTTCCTACTTTTCTGGGCTCTCGAGCGCTCTCAAATGGATGCGCGTGCTTTCTTTTTTAAAAGGGGATGGGAAACTAAAAATACATCACTTCCTCCTAAAAACAGAGTTCTTGCCAACGAGTCTCTTTCTTTCTGCCCCCCCCCGAGGGATTCTGCAGTTTGAGGGGGACCCTCCAGTGCTCCCCGAAAGACACGACGTCCCCAGCCGTGGGGGTGGCCGGGGAGAGGGTCCCCCCCAGCCGGGGCCCGCGCAGGGCCGGCCACTCACCCAGGACCAGCGTGGGCCAGCTGGAGATCCGGGCCTTCAGGCCCTGGTAGAAGATCTGGTGCAGGAACATGATGGTTTCGCTGGAAAAGGAAGCGCAGGGTGAGCTCTGGCCAGCCAGCCGGGGGCCCCCTGCTCCCCCCGAGACGGCCCTGCCCCAAACCTCCCGAGAGAGAGACCCTCTTCTCCAGCGGGACCTACACACGCAAAAGCCCTGCCAGCAGGAGGGACGATATGCTAATAATTTGGGGTGCCCGGTGCAAACCGGGACGCAGGCCCGTACAGAAGAATCATCGAGCGTTTCCAGACGGTGCCGGAGTGATGGGGGTGGGCGCTGCTCTGGGGGGGGGGTCCCGTCTCCAAAGCCCCCACCTGCCGGGGGCCCCTGCGGAGTTGGGGGGACCCGGGCTCTGGGGAGGTGGGTAAAAGCCACCCGTCGATGTGCAGAGAGCTGGGTTGGGGCGCACAGCCTCACCCCTCCCTGGCTGTGGGGCCTGGAGCGAGATGCCCGCCCCCCTCTCGGCCTCCCGTGCAAAACACGCAGGGGAAGGGATGCAGGGGCGCAGGGGACAGGGATGCAGGGGCGCAGGGGACAGGGATGCAGGGGCACGGCGGACACTCAGCAGACGCTGGCTCGCTGCTGCTCCAGACCCGGCCCCTTTCTGGGGACCCCAAGTCAGGGCAGCCAAGAGGCCGGGGTGCCCCTGCTCACAAAGCCCCTGCCTGCCTGTGCCCACGTGCCGAGCAGGACAAGTGTCCTCGCCGGCCACTCGGCCCTGCGTGAGGAGGGGCTCCGAGCGTCCCAGGGGCCATGGCTGCCTTGGGCCGCCCCGTCCCCCCACGGCTCCCCAGGCCCTCCCATCCCTCCTCCCCAGACGCTCCTCCCTGCTCTTCTCCTCCTCCTCCTCCTCCTCGCCCACCGCCCGCACCCCGGCTCTGCCACCCGGAGGCCCCGCGTCTGGGGAACTTCGTAGCAGACCCCGTTTATGGATGGGGAACTGAGGCCCAGAGAGGGAGAGCTGTTCCTGGAATCAGGGGCAGCCCCGACTGCTACCCCCTCCCCGGAATGTTCTCTTCTCTGTCTTCGCCACGTCAGAGGCCCCCCCGCCCCCCCCCACGGTGGGCTCTCTGCCCCCACCCGTGCCTGCCCAGCCTCTGCCTGGCTGCGGAGGCTTCTGGCGTTTTCCACGCTGGGCACTGTCCCTGCTCCCAGCAGCGACCCCCCAACCCCCGGGGAGGCTGTCTCGGAACAATAAGAGCCGGGTGGAAGGATGGGGGGGCGAAAGGCTGGGCGGACGGCGTGGGGGCAAGGACGGGTGTTGGGGGGGCAGGACGGGACGTGAGGGGCAGGACGGGGGCGTGGGCGGACGGGGGTGTGGCGGACGGGGGGGCGGGGATGGGGGAGGCCGTGGGGCAGGACGGGGGGCGTGGCGGGACAGGGCGTGGGGCAGGACAGTGGGGCGTGGGGGCAGGACAGGGGGGGCAGACGGGGCGGGACGGGAGGCCGTGGGGGGCGGGGATGGGAAGGACTGGGTGGGGGATGGGGCGGGATGGGGCGGATGGAGGCCGACCAGTGGGGGTCAGGATTGGGGGGCCATGGATGTGGGGGGGCTCGAAGAGGTGAGAGCTTGAGCACCCCCTCTGCAGAGAGATGGGGTAGGGGAAGGGGACGGAGGGTCAGGTACAAGGGAGGAAGAGGTGAGGAAGGTGAGGGAGAAGAGAGAGAGGGTACAAGAGAGAGACACACAACACACACGACACAACACACAGCACACACAACACACACAAGACAACACACGAGATACAACATACAACACACACAATGCAACACGACACAACACACAACAAACACACACAACACACATGACACAACATACAGCACACACAACATATACAACACAACACACAGAACACACAGAACACACACACACATCGAGACACCTCCAGGCCGCATGGCTCCCGTCCCCAGGCGCAGGGAGGGACGCAGGCTGGACGCGGAGGGGACGGGACAACATCCGGGCAGAGGAAATACCTCCGTGCCCACTTCTGAGCGTGGAGCCCGCTGTCGCGAGTCGCCGTCACCCGCGTCCCGGGGGAGGGTCCCGGGCGTGGCAACGCGAGGACCGCAAGGCTGGCTCCCCTCCCCCGCCCCCCAACCCCTTGCGCAGCAGCTGCGGGGACGGCGGTCGCCCGCCATGAGGCCACGAGGCTTCGGAAAGCGCGACAGGGAGAGACGGCTCAGGTGCAGAGAGACGCCGACCTCGGACCGCAGGGCCCGGGCTCTCGCAGGAGCCAGGTCAGGGTCTCGACGCGCATCTAGAACCCCGGGGTGACCCCAGCCCCCCACAGCCAGGCGCGGGAAGCCGCTGCCAGGCAGCTCCGGCCAACGCCGTGCAGGACGTTCCCACGTGTTCTGGGACTGCACAGGCGTGTGCAGCGGCACGTCAGGAACGTCGTAAGCTACGATTACACGGACACGGTTGATGAGGCCTCCACTGTTGGAGAATCCCTCCCTTCTCCACTGAACTCTGGGAATTTTACCTGCGACCCTGCTTCTCAGAAATCACCACTGTAACCGATCCCGCAAGAAACAAAAATGATGTCATTTTGACTCGACTTGTTTTTTAAAAGCCACTGCTGGTGTTGTCGGCTGAACATTTTCCCTGCGAATTGGCCGTCTGTGTCCCTTCCTTTGGGAGCTGCCTGCTCACGTCCCCTGACGGCTTTCTCTCTCACTGATCTTAAATGACTCAGAATGAAGAGCAGTCTGGCGTGTACGCTGTAGACGTTTCTGCTCAGCGTTTGACCACGGGTTTTGGGTTTGGTGCCGTGCTGAGGTTCTTGCACTCGGCTCTGGGAGGCACACACCGTGTTTCCCCGAAAATAAGCCCTCCCCATAAAACGAGCCCTGGCAGGATGTCTAAGCATGTGCGCCATAGAAGCCCCACCCCGAAAATCAGCCCTGGTGACGGGCGTGGCTGCGCAGCGTCTGCACAACCCGTGCGTGTCGTCGCGGAGCGGGAAAGAACA